GGTCCTCAGGAAGCACAACCTGGACTCCAACCTGCTGCTGACCTTCTACCGCTCGTCCATCGAGAGCCTGCTGACGCACTGTATTACAGTATGGTACGGCAGCTGCACCATGGCAGACAGGGAGAGGCTTCAGAGGGTAGTTAAGGCAGCACAGAAGATCATCGGCTGCCCTCTTCCCTCCCTGATGGACATTTACACCTCCCGCTGCCTCAGCAAGGCAAAGAACATCAACAAGGACAGCTCCCACCCTGGATTTGACCTGTTTGACCTGCTGCCCTCAGGAAGGCGCTATAGGTGCATCAGTACAAGGACAAACAGACTCAAAAACAGTTTTTTTCCAAAAGCCATAACCACCCTGAACTCACACATGCACTGACTTCATAGCCAAACCCCCCCAACCCCCGGACTTCCCTCTATCCACCCACTGTGCAATATTTCATTTTGAATGTGAGGTTAATACTAGGCAATATCTGTATACTGTGCAATATCAGTACTCTCATGGTCCAATATTCGCCACTCACTGCTTTGATCACTTATACTGTGCAATATTCAATATGTGCAATAATATAGTATATAATATAATATATACAAAATCCTTATTTATTCTTTTCATAAATATGTATATATAGCACAGTAGAACTGTGCACCTTACACCCCCCCCCCCCCCCCCCCCCCCCCCCTCCTTTTTTTTTTTTGCACTATTTATTAAATTTTATATCTTATTTTTATATTTTACATACATGTCTGCACTGGGTAGGAGCTGCTTTTAATCTCATTGTACATGTGTATAGTGACAATAAAAGGCATTCTGATTCTGATTCTGAGAGTGGACCACGGTGTACTAGCCAGCCTAGCCAGGTCAGCTAACACTCCATACACGAGCAACTACAGTGATGTCCGCTTCGGACTATTCAACATCCGCTCACTTTTGGGCAAAGGAAGCAACTCCCCCTGGGTTTGTTTACACCTGTCAGCCCCGTGCCACTGGCTGTGGGGGAGGTGGAAAGTCTTGCCGGTCTCTGTGCCAGCATACCAGTCTCTTGCCATAAAACTGAATGGTCCATCTCCAACCATAGTTGCCACTGTTTAGCGTCCACCCAAGCCCAACTCTGACTTCATAAGTGAATTCTCTGCTTTTCTCACTCAAATTTCCTCCCTCTCCCCCAATATAATTCTGCTTGGTGATTTTAACATACACATAGACAATGCTCATAACCACCTCACCAAAGACTTCATTTCTTGCTTGGACAGCTTCTGGGTTGCAGCAGTTTACTGATTTTCCCACCCACTCAAAAGGTCATATTTTGGACCTCATCTGCTGCTCGGGTGTTCGCTCCAAGAATTCTGCAGCTGATCTCCCCATCTCCGACCACATGCTTATTTCATTCACTATTAATGTCAAATTATCCAAAACCAAACTGTCTCGCACCATCTCATTCCGTAACATTAAGGTCATCAACTTAACTGCACTGGCCACTGGTATTGCCAATCTCCCTAGCATCATCCCCACATCCACTCCTGATGAACTGCTCTCCCACTACAATAGTGGTCTCCACAACCTCCTGGACACTCTGGCTCAATTAAAAACACGGACTGTCTCCTTCACTCAATCTGCACCTTGGTTTACACCCGAACTCCTCCAGCTCAAAGCAAAAGGTCGCCAACTGGAACGCCTCTACAGAAAAACTGGTTTCACTGTTCACAAGGACATGTTCATGAATCACATTCTCTTCTATAAGGACTCTCTCTCTCTGTTGCAAAATCCACCTACTATGCACATTTAATCAGACTGGCCCATGGAAACACACAAGCATTATTCACCTTGGTTAACAAAACACTACGCTCACCAGACTGTCTCCCTCCCCACTTCTACTCAGCTGACTTCTGCAATTCCGGTGTGGCATTTTTGAACACTAAGATTGACAGTATTCATCAGCAACTAGCCTCTCACATCTCGGCCACCTCAACCTTCCCAGCTTTCCAAATCCCCTTATCCCACCCCCTCTCCAGCTTCAGACTTTCCTCTGCTGCTGGCATATCGGATCTCATCCACAAATCCAAGCCATCTACCTGTCAGCTTGATCCTCTCCCTACCTCTCTGGTCAGAGCCTCCGTCCATTCTCTAACCCCTCTAATAACTGCTATTGTCCACTCTTCTCTCACTTCTGGCATTGTTCCCTCAGCTCTCAAATCTGTTACAGTAACTCCAATTCTCAAGAAACTTGGTGCTGACCCCAATAACTTCAACAACATTCGTCCCATCTCTAATCTCCCTTTCCTCTCCAAAATTCTGGAAAAAGTTGTTGCATCTCAGGTTCATGATCACCTTTCTCTCAATAACCTATATGAACAGCACTGAAACAGCTCTTGTCAAAATCACCAATGACCTCCTCATGGCTGCTGACACTGGACTCCTCACCATCCTCATCCTTCTCGATTTGAGTGCGGCCCTTGACACAATCTCCCACACCATCCTCATTGACAGATCAAATCATATCTCTCTGGCCGTACTCAGTTGGTTCAACTGAAAACATTTACATCCCAACCAGTCCCCCTCTCCTCTCCTCCGGTGTACCTCAAGGCTCTGTGCTCGGACCTCTCCTGTTTATCATCTACCTCCTCCCTCTTGGCAGTATTTTCCGCAAATATAACATTTAATTTCATTGCTACGCAGATGATAGTCAGCTCTACCTGTCTACCATCTGTTGCACTTTACTGCTGTTTTATGTTTTATTTTTTGACTGTCATGTTTTATTGATTGCTTTATTACTGTCTTTTGTACGGTGACCTTGAGTGTCCTGAAAGACGCCTATAAATAAAATGTATTATTATTACTATTATTATTATTATTATTAACGGTATATACAGTACAGGCCAAAAGTTTGGACACACCTTCTCATTCAATGCGTTTTCTTTATTTTCATGACTATTTACATTGTAGATTCTCACTGAAGGCATCAAAACTATGAATGAACACATGTGGAGTTATGTACTTAACAAAAAAAGGTGAAATAACTGAAAACATGTTTTATATTCTAGTTTCTTCAAAATAGCCACCCTTTGCTCTGATTACTGCTTTGCACACTCTTGGCATTCTCTCCATGAGCTTCAAGAGGTAGTCACCTGAAATGGTTT